AGTGCGGCGGCGGTGGTGTCGGAGGTCAGCCTGTCTCCTGGGGCCGAGGGCCGCCTGGAGAATGTGTCCCTGGTGGGAGATAATGTGTCTGAGGCCGATGGGGACGAGAGTGACAGCTCCTCCTACAGCAGCATCTCCGCCCCAGGGGTGCACGGCCTCCTGGTGAACACTGTGGGCGCGCGGGAAGCCTCCTACATGGTCGGTGGCCAGGAGGTCGCCGCCAGCTCCCTGGGCCAGTTCCCGTCCATCACGGATGTCCTGCAGGCCGCCACAGCCGAGCACCAAGACCGGGCCCCGGCCGTCAATGGGGAGGTGCGGAGCCGGGCCGGCAGCGTCGGCAGCAGGTGGGCAGGCAGCCGCTTCCTCTCCTAACCCGTAGGCTTTGACGTGTCCCGTGCACCACGTGTGCTGCGTGGCGGACATGGAATCGGGGCTGCCCGGTCATCGTCTGCAGCACCGCAGTGCTCTGCCCTCCGGCACAGCCCTGGGCTCACGTTCTAAAGGCCGGTCCAGGGGCTGCCCGAGATGCCTGCCTGCAGTGCGAGCGTTCATGGGAGCTCTCTGCGGAAACCCTGTCACTTATTTTTAAAACTGGGAGGGAGGGCAGCAGCAGGGCGGCGCTGGGTTTCGAGGGCACGGACACATGGAAAGGAGAGAACCAGCAGTCACGTTCCCACCACCTGACCCTTCGTGCCTTTCCTTCCAGCGTGTCCGTGGGAAGTTCCGTGGCCGAAACTCATGATGAAATGTTGCAGGTTCTTAAAGAAAAAACAAGACTCGAAGGACAGCTAGAAGCCTTATCGATGGAGGCCAGCCAGGTAATGGCTGTCTGGTGGGTGTGTCTGGGGCGCGTGCTTCCTGTTCCTCGGGTACAGTCTCATACATCTTTAAGAACGAGCTGCAGCGGCAGCCATACCCTCTGTCCCTGACATTCATCTGCGTCATCGGCCTCAGAAAGACGGTAGTTTCCCGCCTGACTGTTCACTCACTTTTTCCCCGTATCTGTCAGGGTCTGCCTAGGAGATTTTGTGGCTCTGCTATTAGGGACCTAACAGTGCATCATAGTTCAATTGTTTTGGTTCATTTCAATTTTTTCTGGCACGTTAAGATTGTCATTTTTGCCCATGTCATATTTTTTTGCTGTGGGTTTTGCTTTTCTGTTAACGAGCTTGGCTTATCTGGTTAGCATATGCCTGAAAAATAATTTTCTGTCCCTTAATTTTCAACTTTCCTGTCAACAATTGGAGTAGATTGGTTCTGTTGAATTTGACTCTACGCATTGGGCGTGGAGAGCTGGAGACACCGGCCCCGAGTATCAGGTCCCAGCGAGGGCATTTCTCTTAGGTGGCGGGGAGGGGCCGCTGATGCCAGGAGCAGCTGGCTTCGATGAGCTTTTAAACACGCCGTCCTGTGATACGGGCCGGCCGCTCTGTCCATGACGTGCTGACTGAAGAGGCGATGCCGAGCCCGCGATGGCAGTGTTTGGACACGACTTCCACTCTGTCCTGCTTCAGGATTAGCTCGTCAAGGGCGTGTCCCTTTCAGCTGTGTCCGACTGCTGTCTCAGTTGTCCCTTACCTTCTCATTCTCCTGGGGGCTCGTTTCCTCTCTCATTGTATCCGAACCGGGACCCCAGTGGGTCAGCCAGTGCGACACTTTCTGGCTTTTCCGTGGAGACGTGCTTACTGTAAAATCGCGTCGCGCTTGCTCGGGTAACTTGGTACCTTAGGTGTTGGTCCTCCTGTTGGTTGGCTTGGGGGCTGGTCGCCAAGATGTTGGTCTCCCCTTGACATCACAGCTTGGAGTTCCCACGTATACCCCTGACAGACCACGCCCTTCGCTCGTCTTGTGGACGTGCTCTGCTGCCCTGGGCTTCGCGAGGCCCCACGGTCTCGTCACTCCCTGCTCTGTGCTGTGGGCAGCGGGCCTTGTGGTCCCGCTGCCCAGAGCAGAACAGTGCTGCAGGCCGCTCTGTGCCCTGGAGCCCTGGCCAGAGCCCCTCAGGGCCGGGCCCCCTGTGTGATAGCAGTCTTTCCTGCAGACATGTTCTGCCAGGCTGTCTTCCCCAGATCTGGACCTTACTGTTCTCCATCTTCAAGGGCCCGTCAAGACTCCTGGTTTTCTTTCTTTGTGCATCTGTGTGCGTGCTTACATGGTTTTCGGTTTTTCAAACAAATGTGTTTCCCAGCATCCTAGTGGGTGAATGGGTGCTTGCACTGTTATCCCAAGTGCTACCCTGCTCGGTGCCACCATGTATAAAATGAGCACACCGTGAGTGCCGTCCTGCCCCCTGGGCTTGTCTGGAGAATCCGCCTTCTTTGGCGATGACTGTCATGCTGGATGGCTGAGTAGTTTGGAAGACATGGTGCTTTCCTGTAAAGTGCACCTGTGGACACCGCTCTTTGTCTCTTGGTTTGTTGTGGCAGCCTTCTTAATTTAACACAGGGCAGAAGTGACTTAATTTTCTGAAAGTCAGCATGGCTATTCGGCAACCCTTCCAGGCCCTTAAAGAAAAAGCCGAGCTGCAGGCGCAGCTCGCCGCCCTGAACACCAGGCTGCGGGCGCAGGCGGAGCACAGCCATAGCAGCCAGCAGAGGCAGGATTCGCTCAGCTCAGAGGTGGACACCTTGAAGCAGTCGTGCTGGGACCTGGAGCGGGCAATGAGCGACCTGCAGAGCATGCTGGAGGCCAAGAATGCCAGCCTGGCGTCCTCCAACAGCGACCTGCAGGTGGCAGAGGAGCAGTACCAACGACTCCTGGCCAAGGTGGAGGAGATGCAGAGGAGCATGCTCAGTAAGGACAACACAGGTGCGTGGCCCCCAGGTCTGTGGCTTGGACCCTTAATCCTTGCGAAAGGCCCAGAGAGCTGTCGCCGGTGGGGGGGACCGTCATCATACTAACGTGCGGGGTGTTCTCCCTTCTGATTCATACGTGAGGGGCCCGCTCTCCTAAAGTAGGTATTAGTTTCGTTTGAGCGTGTGGACATCGTACGTTTTTGTATATGCTTCGCGAGAGTGGCTTAGGTCTGAGAAGTGGACTCTGGACCCTCGAGAGTCAGTGGTTGTCATTTCGACTCACTCAGCCTTCAAAGTCCATTGGCCTTTGGGGGCTAGAGCTGCCTGCTTTTGCCACAGCATTGCAGATTCTGTTTAAAATATTTAAAAGCAACACTTAGATTGTTGATTAGTAAATCTTTATTTTCCCTACCTTAAGTTTAGGTTTTGGGTCTAGCTGGACCCCTGTGGGAATCACTTGTGGCATGACACTAATGTAATAGCAGGTCCAGGGGACCTTGGTGGCAGGCCATGCACAGAGCAGCGTATGGCCCTTCCCCTGTGCTGCCTTCTCACCCTGGGACACAGACTCTTCCCCAGAGTTGACATCTGCCTCCAGCCAGATGCCGGGGAGGCTGGTTTGTCATTTCCCAGCTCCTCCTCCCCGCACCGTCTTCTTCGATGCGAGGAGTTGACCATACCGGCAACCAGCAGGTGTTTGTGTGGAACTGGTGACAAGATGCTATTCCTGAGTTTGTCGAGGCTACAGATGTCATTAGGTCCCTCGAGACTAGAGCCCTGGCCTCCACAGAGATGCTGTGGACACACGGCGGGCTCGGTGTGCCCAGATCCCCCAGGTGTGGCCTGGATCCTTACCACGTGCGTCTGCCATGAGGTCAGCTGTCGCTGCACCTCAGGGCATCCGCGGGCAGGTGCAGAACCAGAAACCAGGGCCTCCTGATGCGCTCACTCCCAGCCGAGCCAGCCTTCAGCTCTTATGCCTCAAACGCTGTCCTTCTAGGTCTACTTGGTGCCACGTTTTTTTTTTTTGCGCTTTTTTTGATGGTTTTGCTATTTAAAATGCACCCTAGACACTGGTATTCCTAAGTGAAGGAGACTATGATGTGTTTTCCGGAGAAAACACGTGTATTAGATGAGCTTCCTTCAGGCCCAGGTTACTGTGCTGCCGGCCCTGGGTTCCTGCTAACGAGCAACTGGCAGACAAAGTCAGGTGTCGTCAGACAGACACACAAACACAAAACAGGGCTGCATATTGATGGGTTGATGAGATGTGACCACAGCTGTTTCCTTCAGGAGCCATGGTTTAGCGTTCGTGACTTTGAACCTTACTACAGCGCATAACGAGGAGGAGCCGCTTTCTTGCTCTCCGCAGAGCGGCCGGCTCCTGGTGGTGGCGGTGTCTGAGCAGCTGTGCTTGCTTGCTTCCAGTGCACGATCTGCGGCAGCAGATGGTGGCCTTACAGAGCCAGCTACAGCAAGTGCAGCTGGAGCGCACGACGCTGACCAGCAAGCTGAAGGCGTCCCAGGCCGAAATCTCGTCTCTGCAGAGTGTCCGGCAGTGGTACCAGCAGCAGCTCGCCCTGGCGCAGGAGGCCCGGGTCAGACTGCAGGGCGAGATGGCCCACATCCAGGTATGCCCCGACGGCTGGGCAGGCCGCACTCCACATCTCGTGCAGACGACTGCTTTTTCCCTAAGTTAAGACTTCCGCTTTTAGGTGTCAGAGATGCATTTTTAAAAAATCTGCTAACCACTCACGTAGCCCACACGTGTCCTGTACAGGAAGTACCTCCTTGTGACCTTCTGACACCGGGGGTCTGACAGCCTCTCTACTTGAGCTTGAGCAGGTTTAATTCTAAAACACATTTCCGGTATGTCCTGTATTCCTGGTTGTGAGTGATAAGGCTCCTTCCCTCTGAGGGCATCTTCCGTCATCTGAACCGGGCTCTTGAACCCCATCCGCCTGGTCTCAGGACTCTCACAGCCCCTGGTCTCTGCCCTCCAGTGACCTCGTTTCGGACTCACACAGAGGTCAGCTCGCGTTGCCTTCCCAGCTGGAACATCTCCCGTCTCCAGCTCCTTCGTCACCAGGTCTTTCCTGTGTGAATGCTCGTGTCCTGCATCCTGCAGGGATCGTCCTCCCCTGCACCTCGCTCGGTTAGGACGCAGGCCCCAGTGGGAGTGTGCATGGTCCAGGTGCGCAGGCTCGCTGGGCCGCTTCGTGCTGCCGAGGCGCACTCTGCCCGGGGCTCGGCGCTCTGGCCTCACTGCTTTGGTCACGAAGGTGCCCGGTGGTGCCTGAGCAGCCTCAGTCCTCCTTTGGCATTTAGCTGGCATTTAGTTTTGTCCTCACCTCTTTTTTTGGTCCAGATAGAATACCGTAGGTGTGGTAAAACTTTTTTTAAACAGGACGTAAAATACTAACTCTACCAAATGCTTTTTTCTAAAAAAAAAATCAAAAGTCTATAAATGTATAAAGTAGAAATTTTCTTAAATTTATGTTACGTGTTTAAGCTAAAGGACCATACGTAACATGCTTAGAAATCACAAGTTAATGAAGATGAACCTACAGCACGTTTATGTGAGGCATAAAATATTTTAAAAAGCCAGATTTATGTGTCACTCTACCTGAGAACTGGGGCCTGGACGACAGAAGCAGAGGAGGGGTCTGGGGCAGTGGCCGCTTGGGAGCTGTAGCTGGTTTCCTTGATTACCTGTGGGACCCGAGTCGAGTGTTCCTTTTTAGGGTGTTTAGTACATTTTCTGCCTCTTCCCAGGCACACAGGCGGGTTCCCAGGACCACGCAGGAGGGAGCGGCATGCAGGGCAGTCTCTGTTCTTCCATTGCCTTGAGACACGGGCCTAGCAGACTGTACCTCTCCTGCTGCAGCCGCTCCCACTGTGACCTGAGACAGCTGCAGGTCTGGGAACGTTCAGGTTGCATCTGGGAGTGATGAGCTCAGAGGTCCAGTCACAGGCCGTGTGTCCTCGGACTTCTCTTCACTGACCCCTCTCTGGGCCAGCATGTCGGAGAGCTGTAAAGCTGGCTCCGTTTTCTTGGGGAGACAGTCAGGCAGAGGGGGCCTGACTGATGGCCTGGGTCAGACCCTGGGCTAGATTGCCAAGGCCATTGCTTGAGGATAGCCGGGGTCAGCCTGGGGAGTGTGCAGGACGGGCAGGCACTGAGCAGCCACAGCCGTCCCTGTCCCTCCAGCCCCGGCCGTCCCTGCCTGCGGGGCTCCCAGGTGTGCCTTGACGGTATTTGTGTAGCCCTTGGGGATTTGGACCTCTGACTTCAGGCTGCCAGCCGCCCTTCAGGCACACAGAACCAGCTGGCCCTAGTGACAGGGCGACTGGCAGGAAGGCGGCAGTGAGGCCCTGCGTGGTGGAGTCCCGGGGAGCAAGCCACCTGGGGCCATGGCTCACCAGAAACCCCCACCCTGGCAGCCTCGGGGATGGGCTGGTCTGCGTTTGTGCTTGAAGTCTAGCAACTTTCCACCTGGTGGTTTTCTCTCTGAAGGTTGGACAGATGACCCAGGCAGGCCTCCTAGAGCACCTGAAACTTGAGAACGTGTCCCTGTCCCACCAGCTGACGGAAACACAGCACAGGTCCATCAAGGAGAAGGAGCGCATTGCTCTGCGGCTCCAGGGCATTGAGGTGAGGCCCGCGGTTCTGCGGCTCAGTGCATCAGCGCTGTGTGGTTGTTTTTGGATTAGGGTTTTTTTGGGGGGACATTGATTGAGGTAAAAAAAAAGAAAAGTGTAGAAGTACATACGTATACGTAAACATTAGTGTAACATGAATACATTTTTTGGCCTTTTAAGATATTGAATAGTGTACAGCCACGCCACCCTGAACAAGCCCGATCCCGTCTGATCTCGGAAGCTAAGCAGGGTCGGGCCTGGTTAGTACTTGCATGGGAGACCGCCTGGGAATACCGGGCGCTGTAGGTGTAAAAAATAAAAAAATAGAAATGAGGGATTGTAAGCTGACAAGGTCCTTGCAATCTGTGAGGTCAACTAAGGGTTGCCTCGCCTGAAAAATTAAAAAAAAAAAAAAAAAACCATTATAAACAGCCTGCAGTGATTAGGTATGGGGTTCAGTGCCTCACATTCACTGTAAGCTCATCTCTGTCACTCATCTGGCAGTGGTGACAGGCTCCTCCTCCCTGAACTGCAGGAGGCCTGCGCACCATCACTCACCAGGTTATTGGGGTGGTGCTGGGCAGGACTGGCTGGGAGGGTGGAGTCTGGTGCGTGTCTCAGCATTTCAGAGCCTGGTGGTCATAAGCGTTTTCTTGTCTCCAAGTACTCAGCCTACATTATGACTTAATCCGCCAACAACCGTAGGAAGTAGCAAGGACCATGGCCAGCTGCCCCACAGGTTATTTCCAGGGGAACAAGATGCAGTAGTTTGGGCTGAGACCCAGTACCTGCTCCCTGTTCTAGCTGCGAGGCCCTGGATGGTTTCTTAACCTCTCTGAGCCTTGTTTCATTTTTCTAAAATGAGGGTCAAAATAACAACTTAATAGGCTTATTCGGAAAAGTAGAGAACAGAGTACACGATATCTCGGGGGTGTGTACCGTGGCAGTTTTGTGCTATGGGTGTCACTGGCCTTTGACAGTCACATGGCAAGTTGGCATCCCGTGACTGGTGTGGTCTCCCATCTCCCTTCTCCACACATGGCCTTTTGTCCTCACGGATGCCGTGGATGAGGGAAGAGAATCTTGGCATGAAAAACATAGGCTTCAAGGGCTCCAGTGTCAAAGAACTGAAAAATTTTAAGTTGTGTATTAGTGGTTTTTTCCCACTTGGATATTGGGTCCTACCTGTACAGTCAGAGTGAGGAATCCGTGCTGCCCCACGGCTCCTGGCCTCTGGTCTTACCGAATGGCATTGAAAAGGAATGTCCACGTGTTCACAGCCCGGAAGTGGGCACCGGCTGCAGCCTGTCCTCACACGAGGGGCAGTACGGGGTCTCCTTCACGATGCTGCATCCTGGTTCCTCGCCAAGTCGTCTGTTTGCTTCTGCCTTCGGCCAAACCCAAGGGTCCACAGAGGGGACCGTGGGCAGGGGAGGAGGCAAAGCAGCCTGGATGGGTAGTGAGAGGTCACCAGCCTCTGCCCTGTGTGGCCTCAGCTACTCTGTTTGCAGGTCGTGCATAGGACGGTGATGTGGACGAGGGCCCCTCTCCAGGTGGCGGGTTTTCCTCCTCAGTCTGCGTTGGCCGTCAGCTTACTCTGCTTTTTAAAATATAACCTGTCTTCTGGGCACAGGCTGACATGTTGGACCAAGAAGCCGCCTTCGTGCAGATTCAGGAGGCGAAGACGATGGTGGAGGAGGACCTGCAGAGGAGGCTGGAGGAGTCCGAGGAGGAGAAGCAGCAGCTGCAGCAGATAGTGGCCTCGGCAGCAGCGCTGGAGCAGCAGTTAGCACAGGCAGGCACCCGGGGCTGCGTGGCCGGCCTCGCCATGTGTCTGTACGGGTCTGTCCGTCTAATTCGTTTCGGTGTCCCGTCGTCAGATCTGGCTGCTGTCGCAGAGCTGGCCGGGCACTTGCTCTGCAGTGTGCTTCTGCGCCAGATCTTTCTGTGCAAAGACGGCCTCCAAGTGTCCGTCCAAAGTATTTAAAACCTGAGCAGGGAAAATGTGGAAACTCTTGGGGCGCAGTGGTATTTCCATTCAAGAGTGGTCAGATTGAATCCAGTTCCTTCCTGTCCAGGTCAAGTTGACGTTGCATCAGCGAGACCAGCAGCTAGAGGCCCTGCAGCAGGAGCATCTGGACCTGCTGAAGCAGTTCACCTCGACTCAGGAGGCCGTGCAGAGCAGGGAGCAGGCCCTCAGCGACCTGCAGGTGCACTTTGATGAGCTGCAGGCCAGGCTGGAGGAGCTGCAGGTGGAGGCCACTTCCAGAGACGACATGATCCACTTCCTGCAAAACGAGAAGATCGTACTGGAGGTGGCCCTGCAGGCGGCCAAGAGCAGCAAGGAGGAATTCGATAGAGGCACCAAACGCTTGGAAGGTGGTGCCGAGGAAACGCTGGACACTTTAGAGCAGTTGAGACGAGAGTTAGCCGTCAGGTCCAGCCAGGTAACGCATTTCGCCATCATTTTGTTAGGAATCGAAATCACACCTGCGAGAGCTGACACCAATTACTTGGGCCTTTCTTTGGACACCTTGTTTTGCAAATGTGAAGGAGTGCGTCCAGGGCAGAGCCCGGGGCTCAGCTGGGCGGGGGGCCACACTGGCCAGGGCGTACTTCCGGCCTGCTTTCCCAGGGTGCATGGGTGCTGGGAATGGAGAACTGAGTTAGGCTTGGGCTTCGAAACCAGTTTCCATCCACAGATGAGTGGAGCTCAGACAGGAAGAGCTGTGTGAACTTTTGGTTTTTCCTTCCCGTGCGCCTGATTGCGGTGGGTCCCGCTGGACGTGACAGGACAGCTGTGGCGGCGGCGGGCAGGGGCAGAGAGCTGGCCCGAGGGTCTGGGTATATGCGGACATGACCCGGGTCGCCACACCTGGGGGCCGTCATGCTAACAGCGGGGCGTGACTCGGTGGAGGCGAGCGTTAGAAAATACAGAACAGCATCAAGGATGAGGTCCCCCTTTGGGAAGTAAACTGAAGGCGGCTGCGTTCCGTCTGCCGAGCTGGCCGAGCTGTTCCTTTCTGGGGGGCTGAGCGAAGCAGCTCGGTGCTGCAGGCCGGTAGCTCATAGGGCCTGTGCGAAGCCTCTTAATGGGTGTGCTTTTACTGAGTGTTTAGCTCGGTAACAAGGACATCAGCTGACAACTTGGAAACTAGAAGAGACAGCCGTTGGCCTAGGCGTTACCGATCACATTTAAGTTTTGCCTCTGTTGTCATTAATAGTCACTGGCAGCTACACCTCGGATTAAGCTTATTATTCTAAAAACAGTGGGGAGGGAGTGGTGGCGGCTCTCCTGTCTCACTGGGAAGCCATTTTTCCAGCCCGGATTCGGGGACCCACAGTCAGCCTAACCCTGGGAGCTAGAGCTGAGCCACCAGTGTAACGTCTGCACGTGTGTCCCTCGTAGGTGGAGCACCTGCAGCAAGAGACTGCCACTCTGCAAAAGCAGACGCAGAAAGTAAAGGAACAGTTTCTTCAACAAAAGGTAAAGTCGTGTTGTGACATTATTTATTGAAAACGATCCTGTGTGGTTTAATCACATCATTAGAACAAAGTGGGTCAAGAGGAAGGTAGTGTCTAGATCCCTTAATTGATTCTGAGGTACAGTCCTCGCCCCGCGTTTCAATATCTCAGAACAGGTGCGTTTCCATCCTGGGGTTGGCGTCTGTCACACAAATCATGCCCTGCTGCCACATCAGCGTGAGCGTCACCAGCACACGAGCTGAGTTTTCTGTTTAACAGACATGTTCGAAATCACACCATGACCCAGCATGGACGTAGGTCATGGAGTGTGCGCGGTGCACGGTGTGCGAGTGAAGCCAGTGCCCACTGCTGGAGTGATGGGTGCAGAGCGTCGCCACGCGCCCGGGGTGTGAGGAGGAGCGGCCCCAAGGGAGCGCTGTGAGCGGTGTGGGTTTTCTCGCTGATACGTGGCGAGGGGTACCTGTCATACCGGGCAGCTCAGGGCAGAAAGAATTGCCAAAATCCACGGAAGATGAAATGGTTAAGACGCCACCAGCTGCCATGATAGCTCCGCACGTCACCCAGACTTGTTCAGAAATATAAAATAGTGGGGTGTCTCAGTTGATGGTGGCTCGGGTTTGGTGAAACGTGTTGTCTTTGGCCCAAAAAGTCATGGCTGGGTGAGTGGTGGGCTTTCTCGTTGGAGCTGCGTGGCTGCTGGGAAGGCCCCGCCCGCGCTGGCTGCAGCTTGTCTCGGGCAGGTGATGGTGGAGGCCTACCGGCGGGACGCCGCCTCCAAGGACCAGCTCATCAGCGAGCTGAAGGCCACGAAGAAGAGGCTGGACTCGGAGGTGAAGGAGCTGAGGCGAGGGCTCATGCAGCTTCAAGGAGACAAAGCGTCTGCAGAGGCGGAGCGGTCACGCCTGCAGAAGGAGGTGTCCCAGGTCAAGCAGCAGATGGCAGCTCTCGAAGGGCACCTCGAGTCGGTACAGAGGGAGCGCGATGAGCTGGAGACGCACCTGCAGGTCTGGGGACATGCAGCTGCGGAGGTGCAGCCAGAACTGCCTGGGGGCTTTCTGTGGGGGATGCGGGCATGGGCGGGCCTTCCCCAGACGAGCCAGAGCAAGGCCCTCCTGGACGGAGTCAGCCACCAGGAGAGAGCCAGGGTCCAAGGGATGGCATGGAGTCCCAGGCGAGCGACACGATGCGCGAGGAGGGTTCTGAGCTTTAAGTATGGTGGGAGCCACCGATGGACGCAGAGTGGTGATGGGTTGATGTGCACATGGGGCAGTCCCATGGTCATGGAGTTAGGAGCCTGGTGGCAGGGTGGAGTGGGGAGTGCGAGCCCACAGCCCAGCGCCCTGTCCCCGCTAAGGGGCATTTCCTGACATGAGGAACTGAGAGACGGTGTCAGACGTGACCTCTGACTTAACACACGATGCCCTGGGAGCCCTACGACAGGGCCAGGTGCCCTCCAGGTGGGCAGATGGGCCGGAGGCCACAAGCTGAGCGTGTCGGGAACAGATGGCATTGGAGCCATAGGGGCATAGGTCGCACGGGAGGAGCTGCAGGAAACCAGGCTCGATGGTGACACCTGCAGTGGCGTGACCGTGTGCTTTGGGGAGGCTCGGGGCAGCGGTTAAGGCCAGGCAGTTCAGTCTGTCCCCACGGGTGCTGGAAGAAGCCAGGGAGCCGTGACCCGGGGCTCTCCCGCCTGATGGTCCTCCCTTCCCGGGTGTCCCCTCCAGCACTCGGGACACAGGCAGTTCCTTGGGCGGCCCGGAACCCGGCCGTTGAGCACGGGTGCCATCTCGGGGACAGGCCACAGCGGCCGCGGGGCTCTGCTCCTCACTGGCCTTTCCCTCCCGTCTCCTGAAGTCTCTGCAGTTCGACAGAGGGCAGACAGCCGCTGTCACGGAGGCCAACGAGGAGCTCAAGAGACAGATGGAAGAGCTGCAGCGAGAAGCCACCAGGTGAGTGGGCCACGTGCGCTGCTGGGGACCCGTCCTTTAGCTTTTCCTTCTTGCGTTTTCCTGTCGCGTTCTTATCGGGACCCCAGCTCCTTGACAGGGCGACATCTGTGCGTGTGTTTCACAGAGGGGGGCCTTCTCTCCCGGTGCTTCCTGCACCGCTCTGCGCGTCTCGGCCCGGTCGTCGCGTGTGTGGCTGCAGTCGGGGGGAACGCTGGCGGCATCTGTGGGTGGCAGGGAGGGCCGTTCTCCACCCTCACAGACCACACGGATGGCTCCCGGAGCGGAGAGCGGCAGGGCGAAGCACGGTGATGCGCCCTGCGTGGCACCAGCACCGGCCGCATCCAGGGCTGGGATCTGGGTGGCCCCGCAGCTGTGGAGTGTGGATCTGAGACGCACTGGCCTTGGCTCAGCGTTGCGTGCTCGGAAGTGCGGGCCGTGGCGGGGCAGGTGAGTCAACGGCCTCTGTCTGCCACCCTAGGGCGCTTGGCGAGCAGAAGCAGAAGATGAGACGGCTGGGCTCGGACTTGAGCAGCGCGCAGAAGGAGATGAGGACCAAGCATAAGGCCTACGAGAGCGCCGTGGGCATCCTCAGCCGCCGCCTGCAGGAGGCCCTCGCCGCCAAGGAGACGGCCGAGGCCGAGCTGAGCCAGCTGAGAGCGCAAGCGGCTGACGGTGGCAGTGACCTGACACTGCGCGTGGGTACCGGGTCTGCTCTGATCCCTCTCAGACTGGGGATGCAACATGCTACAAGCCCTTTCCCCAAAACCCTCGTAGAATGGTCCAGGGAGGAGCAGGACTGCTGTGTGGCTGCACGTCTCTAAAACGCAGGCCGACTTCGGTGTGACCGGGGCTGGAGCTGCGCAGGGCCCGCTTGCTTAGTCCCTGCCGCCTGTGAGGTGTGCGGTGACGGCCTGGTCCTTGAGGCAGAGTCCAGCGCCCCTCCAGTGTCTGGGTAGCATTTTCTCTGAGCAGCGTGCGTGGGGAACCCAGGAAGGTTCTGAATGAATAGGCACTGGGGTGCTCCTGAGCGGGGCCAGCTGCGAGCTGCTGCACGGCCAGTCTCCGCAGCTGGGTCCCACAGAGGAGGGTGTGGGTGTTCTGGGGTCGGGGGCTTTGGACCTGACCGTGTGACGGAAGCAGACCCATGGCTCAGGTGGGCGAGGCCTGTTGCTCTCTTGTCGGCAGAAGGTTGAGGCTCAGCGCTGAAGGACAGGAAGACCAGCTGGGGCTCCCGCAACAGCAGAGAGATGGCAGGAGCCAAGTGGAGGCAGCAGAGTAGAACCCGGGGGCCGAGGGGGAGTCATCTCCGAAGTGGCGCCGACAGCTCACAGTCAGTGCCGGGAGGGAAGCTGGTGTGTGCGAGCACAGGGCGGCCCCCAGCGTCCAGGCTCAGGTGTCTGCATGTGGCTCTACTAACAGGTGGCGTCATACTGGAGGAGTTGGGGAAGGAGGTCGGTGTGGGACATGTCAAGATGGAAGTGGTCCTGCCATTAGTGTGACTAGCCAAAGCCTCCCACTTTGAGGTCATTGTTCACGATGAATGGTGGCTGGCGTCCCAGAGGAGGGTGGGGTCTTGTGTTCCTGAGACAAAAGCTCGCAGACTGCCTCGGAGTGTCCCCGTGTCCCCACAGCCTTGCCTGTTGGAAGCTGATTCCTTTTAGTTTGCCAGTGTAGGTAAAATTAATGTGCGTTTTATTTTTTACTCCAATTTGAGTCATTTCACGTAGGTTTAGTGTTTGTAGTTTTTCATATGAAGTTTGTCTCTGTCTCCTGAGGATTTATGAGTGGGGAGACTATATCAAATTAAGTAAAGCAAACACTTCTTACTCACGTTATTAAAGCATTGGGAGGGGGGACTTAGTCACAGTCTCCCTTTTACTTTAAGTATTTTTTCTCTCCCTCGCTTAGCAGTGGGTGTGAGGGCGTGAGGCCTGTGGTCTCTCCCGTCCCCATGCTGCCCAGCTGGCACAGCTCAGCAGTTGTCAGATGGGGACCTCAGGCCGGTTACTTACCTTGACCCTCAGTAAAATAAGATAAATAATGGAACCCCCTCGGTAGGGGGCTGAGTGAAGAGACAGCTGCAAAATGCTCAGAACGCCATTTGCGCCACAGTGGCAAGAGAGTGTGCACACGTGCGTGTGTCCACGTGCACGTGTGTGTGCGCGCACCCATGTGGTGGTGGTATGTGTCTGGTGCAACTCAGCTTCTGTGCCAGTCATTTGTAACTCTTAGATGTTGGTCAGAATTCACCTGTGTGTCCAAGGCAGTTAGCTGAGAGTCATGTGGTTTGCGAGCTGTCAGTCAGCCCTGTGGAGGAAAGGGAAGAGCTGTGAGAAGCGTGTCACCCGCTGGCGTGGTCAGCAGCTCACGCGGTAGGTGGATGCGGACCATGCGGGGAGCGAGGCAGGCACTTGTCGTGGGTGTACTTGAACCCGTGACCCAGCCCAGCTTCCCGTCCCGCTACTAGGAGAGAATCCAGGCCCTGGAGGCAGAGCTGCAGACCGTCAGCCACAGCAAGGAGATGCTGGAGAAGGAGCTGCAGGAGGTCATCGCGCTGACTAGCCAGGAGCTGGAGGAGCTCCGGGAGAAGGTGCTGGAGCTGGAGGACGAGGTAGGCGAGCCCGCTGCTCGGGGGCCTAGGGCGAGGGACCCAGAGAGCCAGCGCACGTGCGCGCTCACCACAGCCACCGTGTGACCGCTCCCTGGGTCTGAGCACCAGATGCCAGACGCCCCCACAAGCCCGCAGCAGCCGCCCTCCGATGAGGCCACTTGTGCTCCCGGCCACCCTGCGCGGTGGCGCTAAGTTTTGAGACAGCCCTGCCCCTGGTCAGAGCACTATGGTCGAAATACTGGATCGCCCCCTGAAACTGGCAGAGACCCTAAAAGAACCCACAGAGCCTCCAGCCCAAAGGCCACGGCCGCCCCGCCGTGGTGCATGGGGCAACTGTCGTGTCCATGTCAGCCGGTCCGTTTCTGGTGAGCGACCACTCCATTACCACAAGTGACTGCTCACCGCTCACCTCGCCGGATCGTTGCAGCTTCAAGAGTCCAGAGGCTTTAGGAGGAAGATAAAGCGCCTCGAGGAGTCGAGCAAGAAGCTGGCTCTGGAACTGGAGCATGAGAGAGGGAGGCTGGCGGGCCTCGGGCAGACCAGCGCAGCTCTGCGGGAGCACAACAGCGTCCTCGAGACGGCGCTGGCCAGGAGGGAGGCTGACCTCGTGCAGCTGAACCTGCAGGTACCCGGCACGCCCGCCACGGCCTCTCGAGTGTCCAGGCTGCGCTGTTCATGTCCCCTCACCACCGCCACGCCCACAGCAGCCAGGGCGTCTGGCCTCTGCCTCCGGCACTCCAGCCCCAAGACGGTAGAGCACCTCTGTCTGTCACCAAGGCTTGAAGAGCTTGTGGGTGGGCGGCTCCTGGCGAGGCAGATGAGACCTTTTCGGCTTAGGCCAGTCACACTGTACATAAGGACACTCGCCTGAGGGCTTCGTGTGACACAAACTCAGGTCTGAACCTTGGCAGGGGTCTCGACCTGGGCTCTGTGACCCCTGGGGTTCAGAAGGCTGGCGGTCCAGGGAAGTCCTCATGTGCAGGTCAGTGGCCTGACGTCCCAGCCATCGGAGAGCTCAGAGACATTTGTCAGGCACTGATCCTCCCCACCCCCGCACCTGCTGCATCGCCCCACAGGTGTTGGCGATTGCAACCCTGCTTTCCGTGCGTCCCTGGGTTCCTGGCCGCACACTTGAACATGACCTTGGGTTTTGCCCCTGTGTTCTCAGATTTCGGCTTTCATAGCCTTGCTTCTCCAGATGGGACCCTCTGTGCTTCCCCACCTCATCTGCTGGCTGGTGACGTGTCATGATGTGTGTGCCCCCACCCTGCGAGGCCCCCACATGGCCCTGAACAGAGTGGCCTGTGCTTTCTCCCGGGCTTTGCAGGTGTTCAGCACTTGACATCCTTCCTGACTCACCACCTCTGCCATGTGCTGCAGGTGCAGGCGGTCTTGCAGCGCAAAGAGGAGGAGGACCGCCAGATGCAGCAGCTCGTCCAGGCCCTGCAGGCCGCCCTGGACACGGAGAGGCAGACCGTGCGCAGCCTCAAGGAGCAGGTGCGTGGCCAGCTCCGACCGCGCCACAGCGGGGCCTTAGGACGCTCGAGTTCAGAGTCTAGAAGCCGAGGGTGGGTGCCCAGCAAGCATCAGCTCCCTCCCAGGGGTCTGCTGAGAACAAAGGTGTCACCTCAGCATTGCTGACAGTGGGAGGCTGGAGCCCCAATGTTCATCAGAACAAAAGGGCTCGACTGGACCACGTCGTGCCAGGGTACGGTGTCCTGCGGAATTTAGGGTTAAAGCAAACTTCAGGGCAACACATGACCCCATTTGTGTTCAAAATGACAGCCAGGAAAGATGGTTTCCTTGGCCCTTCACCATTTCCACCTTTGGACCAGTTTCTCCACCTGGCTCCTTTCCGCGCTCAGGTGTTCACCAGCGTCAGGTCGGCCACCTGGCCCCTTCTCTACTGTTTCTGTAGGTCTCCCCTTGTTAGGATGTAAGCCTCCTGGAACAAGGGGCGGTAGCTTGTGTCTCCTCGTGTTTCTGGTGCCTGGCAGAGCAGAGGCTCAGAACGTGTTTGTGCGTGCATGCGTGGGTGCGTGTGACCTGGGTTTTGCCACATCCTTAAAAATTCCTTAGTGGTAATGTAATAGAGGCAGAAGAAAATAATTCTTTGTTTCTTATGTGAGACAGTGAAATGCTCTTTTAAAATAGAACTAGTTTTAGATGTGTCAAGAACACTGTAACGTGAGCAGTTGGCTTGTTCTTGGCCCACGTTCGCCTGACCTGCGCTCAGCGTTTGGTCCTTGCATGTGGTCTCTGCAGACCCGCCACTCTGAGTTGGTCCACGGCGCTCCTCCCCTGCTTCTCTCTCCCCTCGCCTCCCATTCTTGCTGTGTGCTCAGGCGTCACTTGCTAATTTTACTCTCATCAGAAAGAAGTTCCCAACTAAAACTGCCGGGGGAGTGATGTGTATATGATTTTGGTTTTCCTTGTAAGGATAGTACTTGTGAATAATGTTTGTTTCTCTAAATGCATTTGTCTGATTTGCCTGATTGATCATAGAAATAGTACATGCTGGCAAAAAGTTTTTAAAAAAGTAATCAAGGTTAAAGTCCAGACCATCTTGACTCTACCTAGTGACAACCACTGAATTTGGGTGTTTTTCCTTACTTATGAGAGTTTAGTATGTATGCATATAAGTATTTATATTAAAATTTTTTAAAGAAGTACTTGCTACTGCCATTAGATAAAACTAAATTATTAGAAAGGAAAATGAATTTTTGTTATATTCTGAGACTCTGCTTGCTTCAGAAACCTTGAGAGAAACTTGCTGCCTGTGGAAAGGCTAGTTGCACAGGGCCGGTGATCGAGGGCTTCCTCACGGCTGGGTGGTGTGGTGGGAAAGCAGGTTCCTCGCAGGATACGTGGACCGTGAACAGATCTAATAGGAACGTGCAGATAAACTTGGAGAAAGATCCGAAATCTCTTTAGACCAAGAAAACCGTGGACACATTTATTCAAGCTGTGCGCTTGCGTCACGTATGTGTTGGGTACCTCGACCCTTTGTGGGGACTTGGAGAGCTTTGGCAGAACAACCTGCAGGAAGGAGCAGCTGGGCCACCGGAGGTGGTGGGCAGTGGCACTCCCCCACGGCTCAGACGGCACCCGCGGACGCTGCCGTCCTTTCTTCTAGGTCGCTGCTGCCAAGGCGGAAGCAGGGCATAATCGCCGCCACTTTAAGGCCGCCACCTTGGAGCTGAGCGAGGTGAAGAAGGAGCTGCAGGCCAAGGAGCTCCTGGTGCAGAAGCTGCAGGCGGAGGCTGAGGGTCTACAGTGAGTGCCGGGACAGAGGGCCCTTCAGGGTGGCAGAGGACGGGGTTCCGCAGCGAGTGCCCAGACAGAGGGCCCCATTTTGGGGTGAGCATAGGCTCCACAAGGGGTCTTCATATGGGTTGTCCTCCCTCTCTAATTAGCACAGTTGACACACTAAGGTCACCTGGGTTCTAGCAAATTGCTGAGTCCTCTGGAGGCAGACCTGGGAAGGAGGATACATCTGACTCCTGTCTCAAGGAGCCTGCAGCTTAACCCCCAAATTTCAGTCTTGATGGTGCTGTCCCCTCCCTTCACCTTGCTGGTATATCGTTGGGAACAGAGTGCCCCCCAGTGTCAGAGGCACTTGTCCCAAGGGCTGTGCCCACCTCCAAGGTTCACTGTAGGCTCTGATTGGGCATCCTCGAGTTGGACGTGTTCAGGGACGCTCACTGTTAGTCCCCGCGGCATTGTCGCTGCCACCGTAGTTTGTCAAATGGGCGTCTCCCAGGGGGTCGTGAGGCTCATTTAGCGAGCAGTGTGTGAGCTCTGTCATTTCAACTCTCACCCGAGACAGGTAATGTTGACCTGATACCATCTTAGGACGGAGGGCGGGGCTCGTGTCGGAGGAGCGCTGTAATTCTTCCTCGTTGTATGCTAGGATCCAGGATGGGAAGCATTCCCAGGAAATAGCGGAGTTCCAGGCGGAACTGGCAGAGGCCCGGACCCAGCTCCAGCTCCTGCAGAAGCAGCTGGATGAGCAGCTGAGCAAACAGCCTGTAGAAAACCAAGAGGTAACCGTTGGGGCAGCTTTGCATCCCAGTTGGCAGGGCCTCCAGAACTGGCCCCACTGGCTGCCGTGCAGGCCTTTCATGCCTGGTCTGCTTGGAAGGGTCACTGATTTTTTCTAAGTACGACACGAAACCACACACACAGGTATAGTTGGAGTGGTTTGGTAGTGTGAGAAAGCCATTTCAGAAATCTTGTGGTCATGTGACTTTTTCCCTCCCCTAGATGGAAAATCTCAAATGGGAGGTGGATCAGAAAGAGAGAGAAATCCAGTCCTTGAAGCAGCAGCTGGACTTGACTGAACAGCAGAGCAGGAAGGAGCTGGATGGAACTCAGCAGTTACTGCAGGTATCTGGCCTGCAAGGGCTGAGCAGGAAGTTGGGTGGCAGTCCCCAGGTCGGCACTGAGTGTGCACAGGGGCTGCAGGTGCGTGGCATGCTCCCAGCAGACCATTTGGCCACATCATCCCATTTCAGAAGGAAGGGGGCAGGCGGAGCCCAGAGCCCAGGGCCACGCCTGGGCTGAGCTGTGTGAGACACACCAGCCGCGGGTCTCAGAACATCCAGTAAATGAGACAGTGTGTGAAAGATAACCAGTCTGTGACACACTTCCAGTTGAGGAAAGGGTCAGGAACGGAACCTGTGATGGATGGCTCAGAATGAATGAATTAGAATTGATTTACGTTCGTTCTTAGTAATGGTTAGGCTCATTCTAGTCGCTGACCTTAGAGTTCAAACAGGGGCCTCCTGGGGTTCCTTGAAGAATGTAGACTTGGGAGTGTCACCAGTGCCTCAGCAGAGGCTCTGAAGTTGGAATAAGAACGCTGGGGGTGTGACTGTGACTGCACCCCTCAGTCTCGACTGCTGAAGAGGAGATCATGCCGAGAAGCGATCATCACCTACTTCGTATAACAGCCAGAGTTTTCTTTTCTAGCCCGTTAGAACTGTGATGTACAGATTAAGACCTTTGCAGTGTGTTTAAGATCTTTTAGCTCTTAAAAGTCTTTGTGGACTTTCGTTAGAACATCAGATCTGAGTTGGAGATGGTGCGGGAAGATCTGTCCGTGACCCAGAAAGATAAATTCATGCTTCAAGCTAAAGTGTCCGAACTGAAGAGCAGCATGAAAACTCTGCTCCAGCAGAACCAGCAGCTCAAGCTGGACCTGCGACGCGGCACAGCAAAGACGGTGCGTGGGCCCTGGCGCCGTGGGGCTGGTGGGTCTCCAGTCGTGCCGACGGAGTCGTGTGACCCACAGCGCGCAGCTGCTGTGTGAACGAGAACAGGGATGGAACATTCTGCTTGGACAGCAGGCCGATTGATTGTGGTGCCTTTTCCAGCAGAATGTTTGCTTTCCACGAATTCAGATACCGTATCGTTGTATTGGGCTTTGTAAACCAAACGAGGGCTTGGTTCGTCTGCAGCACTAACAAGAGCCCCCGGCCCCTAAGCAGGCCCAGCTGGGACAGAGCAGCCCCCAGAATGGGCTCAGGCCCAGGGACCCCAGGACCCCAGAGCTGAGGTCACGAGCCCTGCTCAGGTTGTCGGCAAACCCGGTGCATGTTTCTCCAGCCAGTGCATGTGTTTTCCAGGTCAGAGAGAGAAGCGTTCTGACGCGCTGATCGACAGCTCTATTAGCATCGTTTGCCTTTCTGTGGAAGAAGTTTGAAGTCCTAGGAAGGGGAGTCATATGAGTTGGAAAACTGACTAAATTTTTTAGGGAGACCCAGAGTCCAGGTTGTGTCTTTCATGGAAGCCCCACAGAGCAGCCCTGTCCTGAGGGGCCAGGACTGTGGCCTGTGCTCTTAACATGTTGGGCAGGGGGGGTTTCCTATTGGGCCAGCATCTTCTGAGCCCCTGTGGCTGCCAGCCCAGTGGGCACAGACGAGAGGGATGTGCCTCCAGGGCCTCGTGGAGCTGAGAAGCACGCTGACAGCACCTGAGGGGACGCCGTAGGGGAGCTAACCATGTGCTCTTAACAACAGAGGAAGGAGTTGAAAGGCGAGGCCAGCCCCTCCAGCCCCATGACACCAGTGAAGGTCCCCGACTGCCCCGTGCCAGCCTCTCTGCTGGAAGAGCTGCTGAGGCCGCCGCCCGCCGTGAGCAAGGAGCCCCTCAGGAACCTCAACAGTTGTCTCCAGCAACTGAAGTACGTGCCGGGTCCAGTTGCCTCATCCTCACACCACACCGTTAATGTGGAGGGGGCTTTGTCGCCAGCACTGAGTCCCCGGCAAAGGCTGGGCAGGTCTCTGGTAGGCAGGGTCCCTCGGCCTCTCAGGAGAATCGCCTGTAGCCAAGTGATCACAAGAAGCCGTCAAGTCGCCAGGGCCTGCGCCCTTAAGCCCTCGGCTCTGTCTTCCCCCCATCCTCCCCGAGCAAAGCCCACGTGCATGTGGCCTTGCGGCCCATTGCTGCATGGGGCAGAGGAAGGTGTCAGGCGTCCCTTAGGTTCTGTGACCCTGTCAGTGTTGCTGGTCCCTGAAGGCGCCACAGATGTGTCAGCGAACAGCTGTCTCGGCGGCAGCGGTGTCCTTCCTGGCTGCTTTGACCGGCGTGCCTCCCTTTGCCCCTTGTCTCCCCAGGCAGGAGATGGATAGCCTGCAGCGCCAGATGGAGGCACACACCGTCACCGTGCATGAGTCTCTGTCCTCGTGGACTCAGGGGGACCCTACAGCCAGCTGTGCTTCCCCAGAAGATCATGCCAACCCCAGGGGAGACACAGAGCAACACGGTCCGAGCAGGGCGTCCGGAGAGGGGCTGGGAATGGCGACTGCCGAGTGTCCCCACCCTGAGTGTGTGTAACTGCCCAAAGGAACATTCTTTCACAAGGTTATTAATTTACTGTCGCCTCCTTGTTTTCCTAAGAATTTCAGGTTCGTGTTCACCTTTACGAGGAGTAAAATATAAGAGCGAGGGTTACTAGGGGGTCGTTCGCAGCTCACAACCAGCTTTCCCCACAAAACGACCAGAGCGTGAACACCTAGTGTAGGTCTTCGTGAGGAGTGTTTGCAGGCGTCTGAGGGTCCTCGGCGGGAGATACCTCACAAGTGAAGGTGGACGTGGCTCCCTGCAGGTGGCCGGTCGCCATGGAGACCTGGTGCCAGCAGTGCCCTCTTTGTTTCCTGTTCCGGTCAGTCAGAGCGGTAGCGAGACTGTTTTCGCCCTTCTGGTTTTATTTTATTTTCAGTAGCCGTCCCACCGTAGGACGTGTATCTAAATACTGAGAATCGTAATGAGTCGTTGAAAACTATGTGCTGGAATTATTTAAGAATGACCTGAATTCTCTTTTTATTGATTGATTGCCTTTTGGAAATCTGCTGTCAGGAAATGATGTACATGTAGGATTAAGGGATGTCGGTCAGAAAATTATATTTTAAGAAACAACTATTTTATTTACTTTATCTTCGAAAACCAAATATTCTCAGCATTCTTCATTGCTTTCACTTCACTTTATTTTTGAGGGCCCCTCCCACGTCGTAAGTGCACATGCCCACCCGTCCGACCGCAGCCCTGCTCGGCCTTGCCTTGACCAACCCCCGGGTTGGCCCTCTGGCCACGAGGACTCCCCATAGGTGCTGCGGTCACCACACGCTGGCCTGGCATGGGAGGCGTGAGGAGAGGCCAAAGGTGAGGGGGGCCCTGCAGCTCGCACGCAACGCAACTCCCAGCCTCACGTCCCGTGCCCGAGTGGAGACGCTCCCCAGGGCCATGGTCGTCGAGGACGTGCTGGGCTCAGTGGCGACAGCCTTCAGGAGGGTGGAGGTCCTGAAACGCCCCATCTGGTGATCAGCGGGCTTCCTAGCGGAGGCAGCTGGCCCTGCGAGGAAGGCGCCGAGGTCCCCCAAGCGCTCCCACCAGGGACCCCGGCCCCTGAGTGCATGAGACTGAGGTATGAGGTGTGTAGATTTTCCACCTGAGCTGCTTAAACACCGCAGGAACTGACGGATTGAGACTTGAGGTATGTAATTTTGACTCCCGTTTGCTAAGAAAGTCTAAAGGGATATTTATTGTTATAGGTTAGAGAAGAGAGAACGGCTGCCTATGGCTCCTGTGTGGCCTGGTCTGATGGTGACGTGAAGTGTCACTGACCAGACATGTTCGAGTCGATGTATTACTTATCTCTTTTGTGGAGAAAGCGGGACGGTATTTTTAAGCTATTTGTGTTCCCTTATAATATGTTGTTTGGAGGTCAATCGATAAAGTAGCATTGATCACAAAGACATCTACTGCTTAAAAAAGATTCCCCAGTGAGCATCGGAACTTCTGAAATACATTTGTCCTTTGTGTAGGTTAATCTTGAACTAATACTTGAAAACTTCATTATAAATGTACCCTACTTTTCAGCTTAAGTTGGAAATCATTTTTGACAAAATTGTTTTTGTACCATTGGAAAAGAAAAATGTAATTTACGTTCTGTTGCTTTGGCTGCATTACCCTTCGTTTTAATTCTAAAACCAAGAATGGCACTTGGCCTCCTGCGGAGAGCCTGCCGTTGAGCGTTGGTCACTGATTGCACTTCTCTTAGGAAGGGGCAGCTGACTGGACACGTCCAGCAGGTGAAAGCCCATCTCTGCTTCTCACCCCTTCCTCCGCCTGGTTCCTGTCGGTGTGCGTGCGCATGCACGACGCCCTCTGGCCTCCTGTCGGCTCCCTGTGCCACCTCCACCCTCAGTTCCTATCTTTCGGTCCAGCAGACACCCAGCCTGTCTCTGGTCTGAGCTCTGGGGTGGCTCCATGTCTAGGGGACCTGTTGTGTTTACGCTGAGGCCGCCTTTGGGCTTCCTTAACGGTCACCTGCAGCAAGAAGTGGGACTTTTAAATCGCCTGTTGTTGATTTGTTGAGAGTCGTGTGTGTGTTTTTTCTTATCTCCAAGGGACTTTACTGGCACTTCTACCTCCCAGAGCCGGGTTGTTAGTGAATAACGTTTGAAATATTCTATTGTGGGCAGAAGTGGGAATTAGGAATTTACTCACGAAAAACAGTCAAGTCTGGAGTATTTATAAAAACAGGCTCGCTGTTGCATTCTTTGTGAATTGCATCATCCTCTGCGTTGAACACTATGTCACGTCCTCACTGTAGAGAATGTTGGCTCGGACACCTCATGATGTCAATAGTTTTTATGTTGTGAAAAAAAAACTTACTGCAATGTGGCTGTCATTGATTTTTCCTCAGTACGCATCAGATGGACGCTGAGGATCTTACAGGGTTAGATGCCTTCCTCCTCCTGTCGGGAAGGTTTGCCAGGCAGCATTTTGATGAGGTGTCAAGCGGGCTCTTGCTTGATCCGGGCCAGGGAGCTGCAAGTGTAGGAGGTCACATGAACCCTCCTAGTGTGAAGGCTTCTCGGTATAGAGATACTGCAAAGTCACCATGACTTGTATTTCTATGTCATGAGTATTATTTTTAACAAAGATAAATGTGGTGTGTAAAGATTTCTAATAGTGAGAGGGACCAGTGTATCTGAGGAGAAAAGTCCTGGGGGCTTCTCCAAGGACTCCGTGATGTGCATAGTGCTGGGACAAGTGACACACTCTGAGCCTAATTCACACAGGTTCGGTGACTCCACGTCCCAGGTGAGTGTCAACTGTATGGTAGTCTCAGGTTATATAGGGTCCATGAGGGTAATGTTTTAGAGGGTCTGGAAAACTCGGTGGGTTTAGGTTATTCATTTCTATTAAAAATTTCCTCATAAAAGGGAGTCATCAGGTGGAGGTGTTCAGGGGAAAGGTGTCATTGTGCACATGACTTGTAACTTTAAAAGGCATGTTGATTTTTTTATAAATTTAAACGTGCTTGGGAATTCCTTAAATTTTGTGCAATAAACTATTTTTTTGTTAAAGATTTTCATATTTCTTGGGGGGGGTTTACATATATTTTGTCACATTCGGGAGTTACTTTTACCTCATGTTACACACCCTGTTCAAATACTTGTCTTGAAGGAATTTTACTGTTCCGCCAAAGTTTCAGGCGGGCCCTGAAACCCACTTTGTCATGGCGGCTTTGACCACAGCAGAAGAGCTTCCGCCCGTGTTTCTCCCCCTCTGGCCCGTACCCGCCCTGTGTGTCACTGTCGGGGGCGGTGCTTATGGGAACAACCCAGAGGAAGGGGCGGCGGCTGCCCTCCGGGCTTGCTTCCCGCACCAGATGCTGCCATCCCGTCCGACGGCAGTGGGGCCGTGACTCAAGTCCGTTTTGTGGCCGCTGGTTTCACCGGTCATCCATGCTTCATTCTTGATCAAGAAGAGTAGCCCGGGTGGGTGGTCGTCAGGGAGCTGCTGTCACGACGCCAGCGCGGCGAATGCAGAGCAGAGGCGGCGGTGTCAGGCGGTTGTGTGGCGGGCGCCACCCGTTCCCGGGACCCCTGGGCCTGGGGGGCCGGGCT